GGAGGCGGAGGAGGAGGAGGAGGAAGAGGAACGGCCTCCTTCAGTACCTTCAAACGGTTGTCTTCCAACGTGGCAGTTCCCTAAATGGGCATGAATCGTCGTGGGGGTCTATGAAGAGGGAGCTTGGAGGGAGGGTTAATTCCAACAGCGTGGATGACGCTTGGGTTTACACTGGTCCTCCTCATCTCCCTCGTCGTCGTCCTCCTCCTCCTCCTCCTCCTCCTCCTCCTCCTCCTCCCCCGATCCCCATCGCCACCCTGGGCCATGGTATCCCAGCCCCACCATCCACCCCCCCGCAGTTGGTGATAGGCCGCGCGGAGCCCGCACGGAGCAGCGCACATCCTCATCTACAGGGGGGTCACTGCCTTGTGGGGGCAAGGCCACACAGTCGGTTCCTCCACGTCTTTTGACAGTAATATTGCAGCTACGGACCTGAGAATTCGACAGGCAGACGCGGCATACCCAGTACACGTGAGAAAAATACTGGTTTTCAAAACGAATGGTCAAATCTCTCACAATCTCCGAAACAAAAAACCCACGCCAGGTCATCACATTGTCCGCCCGGGCCGGGTGGGCCAACTAGCTCCACCCCGCACCAGTGGGGGCAGGGATCGGTTAAATAATGCTGATCGGGTCCCTCGTGCCTGCAGCCGAATCGCTCCTCTCACCTGCGCTCTCCTCAGTCCCCCCTGCGACTGGCGACGTGCCAGCCATGTTCTCTCGAGACCGGCAGGCCGGCCCGCGCGCAGTCGCCAGGAGGCGGTGGCGGCGACGCCGCTGGCCCCCGCCGGGGCCGCCGGGCGTATGAACGCGGAGGCGGCGCTGAGGTCCGCTTGTCGTCGTCGTCGTCGTCGTCGTCGTCGTCGTCGTCGTCGTCGTCGTCGTCGTCGTCGTCCCCCTCGTTCCTCTCCAATTGTCAAAGACGGCTCAACATGCCAGTCTGTTCCAAGAGGCCCTGCGACCGCCTTCAGACGATTCCAAGTGGCAGCGGAGCTCCCCAAGGAGGCCCCCGAAAGGCCAAATCCCTCCAACGCCTGAGGGGAACATCTGCTCGTTGCCTGCTCGCCTCGGCGCATGGCCTCAAGATGGCTCCGACGTGGCCCAAGAGGGCCCAAGAGGGCCCCAAGAGAGGCCCAATACCCGCCGGTCGTTGAAAGTAGGTACTGTTGGATTCCCAGGTCCCAATCTACTTCAAGCGCCTTCCTACTTCAAGAATCGGCATGCTTTTGCTGTGCTCTGTTACTCCCTGGGAGGACCTGGGCCCAATCCACTATATCCGCCTTCCTACTTCATGCTTCTACCTACTTCTTCCGACCGACGTGTATGGTTCGTCCTCGAAGCAGCAGGGCGGCACAAGCAGGCATGTCGCTTGAATGTCCCACCCGCCCGACCCGCCCTTCAGAGGATCGCCCGCCCGTCGTGGCCCGAGACTCCTTCCTGGAATGGCGCCTTCGCCCAGGACTTTTCCGAACGTTCGCACGCTTGCCTTCCTGCTCCTCCTTTCCTCCCGGGCGGCCCCCCTTCCCCTGGGCTCTCGGAGGCCCGCGCGGGCTCCTTTTGGGCTGGCGCCGCCCCCCCCCCCCCCCCCCCCCCCCCCCCCCCCCCGCCCCCCCCCCCCCCCCCCCCCCCCCCCCGCAGCGCCTCCGGCGCCGCGCCCAGCGCGCCAGGTGGCGGGGGAGCCCCGCGCCGGCCGGAGAGAGCCGCGCGGACCTCGGCAAGCGCTCGCCGATGCCGCTTGCAGTTCTTGTGCAGAGTCGGGCCTGTCCCCCTACAGGGGGATCTTCGACGAGGAATAAGAGATACCCCAAAGAGAGTCAAAAGATAGTCCAAGAATAGTCCGGGGACTATCTTTTGAGCACGTTTTGACCTTTTTGGTGCATTTTGGGTGTATTTTATTTTTCGCCGAAAATCCCCCTGTAGGGCTGTAGGGGGACAGGCCCGACTTAAAGTTATTGTTCCTATTGCTCCTCGTATGTTCGACATAAATGCAGAGCATTTTGTTCAGTGCACGTGCAACTGCACGCTTGTTGTGCAGGTGCGATCCGGCCTGCCAACGTGGCGGTTGGGGTCGCCAATTCGCTTTGTGCCGCCCGCCCCGGACATTGCCCTTCGCCGCCAGACCGTTGTCGCGCGGCCGCAGACCAAAAAAGTATGTTCGACATAAGTCTTGTTCTTTTTCGGTCATTCGCATTCTTATCACGTGTGTACAGATACATACAAGCATTTCTGTATATATGTATGCGTGTATCACATACCGACAGCCTGGCCCCGGGTCAAAGACCATCAGCGGCAGCCACGGTACATTATAAGTGCCCCCGCCCTTCCCGGGAGCCTCCCCGGGGCGTCCCGGGAGCCTCCCCGGAGCCTCCTACAAGCTCCGGACGTCCCAGATGACTTCCAGACTGCTCCAGGACGATCGCGCCGGGCGAAAGGGGGGGATTGGGAAAGGGGGGGTTACGAAATTTGCTGCATGCAGCTGGTTTCGGTTTCACCGAGGGGCCCATTCCTCGATACATGGCCGCCTCCGGCGCCGGGAGGCGCCGGGAAAATCAGCTACGTGAGCTGATTCTCAAACCCCCCCTTTGCTATCGCCCCCTTTCGCCCGACCCGAGACGACCGAAGAAGGCCCCAAGATGGCCCATAAGAGGCCCCCAAGACGTCACAAGACGGCTCCCAGAGAGCCCACCCGAGGGCCCCGAGCGGCACAGTTCACCCCACTTCCTTAGAAAAAGCAAAGACGTTTGGCGTCTTCATGTTTGTTGTCCTATCAGCGTCCCAGGTGGGTGGCTCCAAGAGGCTCCCAAGAGCGCCCCAGGACCGCCGAAGAGGCCTCCAAGATGGCCCCAAGAAGCCCAAGATGCCCAAGATGGCCCCAAGACGGCCCAAGAGGCGCCCAAGACGGCCCAAGAGCCCGTCAAGAGGGCCCCAAAGAGGCCCAAAAGAGACCCCCAAACGCCCCCCGAGCGGCCCTCCGATCGCCCTCGGCGCCAAGGTGCCCCCCGAAGCATCCCAGCGGTCTTCGAGAGGCCCCCAGAGTCCCCCAAGGAAGCCTCCAAGAAGCCCCCAGAAGGACCCTCATGAGTCCCCCGAGCGGCCCCCGTAGAGACCACAAGATACATTTGCACACTTCAAATCAAAGACACTTCCATCCCAGAAAGTACGCAAACACTAAGTGTACAACAACTCTCCCCATCACTCCTCCTCATCCTCTTTCTCCGTCTCCTCTCCCTCCTCCTGCCTCATCCTCCTCTCCCTCCCCCACCCCTCCTTCCTCTCCCCTGCATCCTCATCCCTTCTACCTTCCGCCGTTCTCCTCTCTCATGTTCTTGCTCTCCTTTTATGTCCTGCTGCCTTCTCCTCCATCCACCCTCCTCCGTCACTCTTCCCCCTGCAACCCGCGTGTGATCCTGTGCGCCACACGCCTGGCCCCCAGTCCTCACACCCATCGAGCACGCTCCATGCGAAGCCGCGCGTCGCATCAACCTCCGTCACTCTTCCCCCGTTCTCGCTCGCCCACCGTCTTTCCTCCTTCCTCTCTCCTCCTGCTCCTCCTCCCTCCTTCCTGCTCCTTCCTCGTCCTCCTCCTCCTCCTCCTCCTCCTCCTCCTCCTCCTTCCCACTCGCTGCTCCTCCCCTTCCTCCTCCTTCTCCCCCCACCACCCTCCCTCCTCCTCCTCCTTCCTCATCATACTTCCTTCCTCCTCCTCCTGAGTCGCCTCCGCATCCTCCCTCCTCCTCCTTCATCCCTCCTCCTCCTCCTCCTCCTCCCCCTCCCCCTCCTCCCTCCGAGCTCCCCCAAGAGACTCCAGGAGCTGCGCAGAAGGTCCAAAAGGGCCCCACGACGGTCTCAGGAGGCCCCCAGGCTGCCCCAGGAATTCTCCAACAACACATGAGGGTGCAGCCAGAGTGCCCTCACAGGGCTTCCAAGAGTGCCAAATCAGTGAAAGACAAAAAGAACCCAACGTGCTTTCCATGCTGTTCTGGAATTTCCACTTGCTGCGAAAGTGTGGCTCCAGGATGGCCTTGGAGGCCAAAACGGTCTCGAAGAGAGTTGCACTATTGCCCAAGCATGGTCCAGTACTGCCACGAATTCTAAGCCTCAGTGCGACTTCAGACACCAACGCGTGGGATTCCCAGCCAAGGACCAGATTATCCTGACACGGCCCCTCTGATGCGCGATACGCTTGGCCCCATGGCAAGTAGAACATGCTCGCACGCGAAGCGCGCGATGGTTCTAGATACACCCATATGTATATATATATATATATATATATATATGGATTCGTCGCCGTCCTCCTGAGCGCTGGCTGCCACGTTGTGGGCCGTCGTGTCTCCTGACGCAACCCTCTCCTAATCCTCGTCCTCCTCTTGCCGGCGGAGGGTGGAAAGATGCTTGCCATGAGGTCTTCCGTCGCAGTCGTCGTCGTCGTCGTCGTCGTCGTCGTCGTCGTCGTCGTCGTCGTCGTCGTCGTCGTCAGACATGGCCGTTTGAGTAGGAGGCGCAGGGAGGCGGACGAGGCGGACGAGAAAACGATGGGGAGGAGCAGGAGGATTAGGAGGAAGTGCAAGGGGAGGGGCAGGTGGAGGAGGCCGTGCTGAGGTCCACCATCGGCGTCGTTATTAGACGTCAGACGTCGTCATCGTCGTCTCGTGTAGTTGTTGTCGTCGTCGTCAGTGAAGGTAGTCGGTTGACGTATTTGTCATCGGTTGACGCCGTTGCCGTCCGTTGAATCCGTCGTCGTCAGCGTCAGCGCCAGCGCCGTCGTCAACATCGTCGTCGTTCACATCGTCGTCGTCAACAACGTCGTCGTTGCCGCCGCCGCCGCCATCGGAGGATGAGGAGGAGGAGGAGGAGGAGGAGGAGGAGGAAGAGATCACGAAACGGGGGAGGAGGTGGAGCAGGACGAGGAGGTGCAGGAGGTCGGAGGACGAGCAGTAGGAAGGGTGGGGTCACGACGAGATAAGGTGGAGGAGCAAGGAGGGCAGAGAGAAAGAGGAACAAGCAGGATGTCGGAACGGGAGGATCTGTTCGGAGGAGCAGGGAGGAGGATGAGCAGGGCCGAGGAGAAGGAGAAGGAGGAGAAGGAGGAGAAGGAGGAGGAGGATCATCGAGGAGGACCATCGAGAATAGCTAGCCCTCGAGGATGATCCTCGAAGAGAACCCCCATGGGGACCGCAGCCCCGCCGAAGGTCCACCGTGGGCAGATGGCAGGGCCCCCGGCTCGCGATCTACGAGGTGACCGAGGACGCCGGGCAGCCGTCCTGCACCGTGAGCACCACGCAGGCGCAGGCCCCGCGCCTGCGCCCTGCGGTCGGAGGCCATCTTGGGGCCGTCTGGAGCCTGGCATCGCTCGGACGTGTGCGTTTTTCCTTCGGCGAGGAGAATCGAGGAGCATCCTTGATCATTTGGCGGAAGAGCCACGCACGAAACCTACAAAAACACAAGGAATGGACGTCCGAGCGATGGCGAGGGAGGGGGAAGACCAGCGGCCTTGGAATTCTACGGGTCCTTCCAGCGTGAGCACCACGCAGGCGCAGGCCCCGCGCCTGCGCCCTGCGGTCGGAGGCCATCTTGGGGCCGTCTGGAGGGGGAAGACGGGCGGCCTTGGAATTCTACGGGTCCTTCCAGCGTGAGCACCACGGAGGCGCAGGCCCATCGCCTCCGCCCTGCGGTCGGAGGCCATTTTGGGGCCGTCTGGAGGGGGACGACCAGCGGCCTAGGAATTCTACGGGTCGTTCCAGTCATCGGGGGCGGCAAAGAGGGGGTGAGGACTAGGACTAGGGGGGTGGATATCATGGCGGGGGCCATGATATCTCGCCAGATCTCACGCCGCCCATTTTTATTTCATTGCGTCCCCGCCCCCCCCTTCGCCGCGCACATGCCGCCGGCCATGTTTTGCAAATCCCCCTTTTGGACCCCCCCTCTTGGCCGCCCCCGAAGTCAAGACGCTGAAATGAGGACCGTGTTGGATTCGGGAGGGGCTCCCTGCCCCCTATGTCACTCCGTGGCCGTTCCTCCAACTCTCCTCGTGCACCCTGGCCCTGTTGGCACCAAAAGGCGGCCCTCGCTCCTTATCTTAAGTCGGGCGCGTCCCCCTACAGGAGGACTGTTCAAGACTAGTCAAACAAATCGTATGGGGACGATGTTTCCCAACCATCCTGTGGTGATGGGTCCTCGTTTTGAAGAGACAGCGCCCCGCGTCCTCCCTCCTCCTACTCCTCCCCTCCTCCCTCCTCCTCTCTCCTCCCCCTCCTCCCTGCGTTTCACATACCCAATACGGCGTTTCGTGCCCCCATAGGGAGCCCCACCGAAGGTCCCAGCGCTGCCGGCCGCATGCGTCCCGCACACCCAGTACAGCGTTTCGTGGCTTTCCTCCCCCTGCTCCCTGCATTTCACCCACCCCGTACAGCGCTTCGTGGCCACATAGGGAGCCCCACCGAAGGTCCCAGTGCTGCCGGCCGCATGCGTCCCGCACACCCAGTACAGCGTTTCGTGGCCCTCCTCCCCCTGCTCCGTGCGTTTCACCCACCCAGTACACTGTTTCGTGGCCCCTAAAGGAGCCCCGCCGAAGGTCCCAGTGTTGCCGTCCGCATGCGTCCCTCGCACCCAGTACAACGAGTCGTGGCCCTCCTCCCCATCCGTGCGTTTCACCCACCCAGTACAGCGCTTCGTGGCCCCATAGGGGGCCCCACCGAAGGTCCCAGCGCTGCCGGCCGCATGCGTCCCGCACACCCAGTACAGCGTTTCGTGACCCTCCTCCCCCTGCTCCCTGCGTTTCACCCACCCAGTACAGCGTTTCGTGGCCCCAAAACGAGCCCCGCCGAAGGTCCCAGTGCTGCCGTCCGCATGCGTCCCGCGCACCCAGTACAGCGTTTGGTGAGGAAACCCCACCGAAGGTCCCAGTGCTGCCGCCCGCATGCCCCCCCGAACCCAGTACAGCGTTTCGTGGCCCTCCTCCCCTGCTCCCTGCGCTTCACCCACCCAGTACATCGCTTCGTGGCCCCATAGGGCCATAGGGAGCCCCACCGAAGGTCCCAGTGCTGCCGCCCGTATGCGTCCCGCACACCCAGTACAGCGTTTCGTGGTCCTCCTCCCCCTCCTCCCTGCGGTTCACCCACCCCAGTACAGCGTTTCGTGGCCCCATAGGGAGCACACCGAAGGTCCCAGTGCTGCCGTCCGCATGCGTCCCGCACACCCAGTACAGCGTTTCGTGGCCCCACAGGAAGCTCCACCGAAACCACCAGTGGGACCGTCCGCGTGCGTCCCGAGAACACAATGTGGCATTCTTACCCACCCGGTACAGCGCTTTGTGGCCCCATAGGAAACCCCACCGACGGCCCCAGTGGGGCTGTCCGCAAACGTTCCGAAACACCCAATGTGGCATTTTCACTCACCCAGTACAGCGCTTCGTGGCCCCATCGGGAGCTCCACCGAGTGCTTCAGTGCCACCGTCCGCATGCGTCCCGAAAACCCAAAGTGGCATTTTCACCCGCCCAGTACAACGCTTCGTGGCTCCATTGGGAGCTCCACCGAAGCGCCCAGTGGGACCGTCCGCGTGCGTCCCGGAAACTTAATTTGGCATGTCCTCCCACCCAGTAAAGCGCTTCGTGGTCCCATAGGGAGCTCCACCGGAGGCCCCAGTGCCACCGTCCGCATGCGTCCCCGAAACCCGATGTGCCATTTTCACACGCCGATTACAGCGTTTCGTGGCCCATAGGAAGCTCCACCGAAGCGCCCAGTGGGAGCGTCCGCGTGCGTCCAGGAAACCCAATTTGGCACACCACCCATTCAGTACAGCCTTCCCACCACCCGGTGCAGCGCTTCGTTGCCCCATAGGGAGCTTCATGGTTGGGTCCTCCGCCAGGATAATTGACAATTTTCGCATATGTGTTGAATATGTTTCGACCATCTTTTATTTTCGTCCACAATCCCTTTGCAGGGGGGACAGGCCCGACCTAACCCAGGGTGCCCCCAGAGGTTCCGGACAGGGCCCCGCGGCCTGGATCCAGAGAGCACTCCAAACGCGAGGCCCTTTGAGGGCCCAAGGGGCTCCAGAGTCATGCGTGGGCCCGTTGGGGGGGCCGTGGCACACTGCTCGCCGAGGGAAGGCCTTCCCTGTGCCTGCCTAGGCTTTACAGTCGGGCCTGTCCCCCTCTACAGGGGGAAAAGCGACAAATAGTTACAACATCGTCTGGAAATGATGTTCCGACTATTGTTTCCCATGTTTGAGGATTTTTTCGCTACTTACAAGTTTTCTTCCAACATTCGCCTGTAGTGGGACATGCCCGACCTAAACCTCGGGCGTACCCTTAGCCCTACCCTAGGTCTACCCCTAGGACAACCCCAGAGCGAAGAGCTGGGGGCACCTCGGGTCAGGCTCACCTTCAGCAGCCCCCGAGGGTCGGACCGGTGTCGAAGTTCGGGGTCGGTTCGAGGAGGATAGCCCCAATGCTCTTCGTGTTTGCTGGATGTTCTTGTGCATCCTGGGGGAGGGAACCCTCGGAGGTTCTTCGGCTTTGCCGGCGGAGGGTCTCGTCCTCTCGAGGGGCGTTATGTTGTCCTGGGTGCGGCCGTGCATCCTTCTGCCTCCCTTGTCTTGCTCCCTCCTCCCCCAGACGTGCTCGCGTCGTGAACAACAAGACACGACGGTTTGTTCGTAGTTCTCTGGCTTCCGAAGGACCTCGCCAGGCCCCAGGAGCGTCAAATAACGGCTCGCGACGAAAAACCTGCCCCCGGGGAAAGGATCGCCTCCGAGGGGGGCGCATTGTAACAAATCAAGCCATCGCATGTCTTGGCGTCGCATTTTTGTTCGCACTGGACGGTTCTGGGCCCAGGATTATCACATTCCGATCCGTCTCGAAAAATATCGCAGAAAGGTGGGGACCAGGGCTCGGGTCGTGATTTGATCTGGCATTTTTTGTCGCAACGTTCGATCTCAGGATCTTCACCTTCCTCATCCTCCCTCCTCGCCTCCTCATCTCCTTCCTCCCTCCCTCCTCCATCCTCCACTATGTTTTGTTCCTCCCCCTCCCCCTCCTCCTCCTCCTCCTCCTCCTCCTCCTCCTCCTCCTCCTCCTCCTCCTCCTCCTCCTCCTCCTCCACCTCCTCCCCCTCCCCGCCCGCCGCCCCGACCTGGACGCGCAGCGCTGCGCCCCCATTTGCTGCTGCTGCCGCTTGGCCGTTGCGTGTGGTCTGTCCTTCCGTCGTGACAGTCGAGGTGGAGAGGTCGGGCGGAGGGGTCTGTGAGGATTTAGAGAGGGAGAGGAAGCTCCCCTGTACGATCGTCTCCTCCTCCTCTTCCTCCTCCTCTTCCTCCTCTTCCTCCTCCTCCTACTCCTCCTCGTCGTCCCCCATCCTCCTCCTCCTCCTCGACCTCCTCCTCCTCTTCCTCCTCCAGTCCCTTTCCTTATACATAACTTCTCCCTGTCACACCCCGAGGCCAGTTTTTTGGGTGGACCAGGCATTTCGAGCAGATGTCCCAGCAGAACGACGCTCATCAAAATTCACTGGCAAGTCCACCGACGGCCTTTTTGGCTAGATCGTCGCGAACAGTGCCTGGTTGTAGCCAATTCTAGGAACGTCAGCCATGCGAATGTTCCACTTGTCGCAGACTTTCAGGAATAATGTGCGTGGCGCTAAGGCGAGAGCCATATGATGAAAACATGCCGCCATCAATCCTTGAAATTGTTACCAACTTTTAAGACGAGTGAGAGCGGCGCCAAGGCAAGAGCCACATTTTGAACAACAAACACTGGTCCTCCATTCGTGAAGTTGCTGTAAACTTCAAGCTTCAGGATCATTCATTGTGGGGGCGTCTCAGGCGAAACATCTGGCCCGCCATACCGACGACACGTCTGGGGGTGCGACAGGGAGGAGTTGTCTATAAGGACACGGGATTGAGCAGCCAGGAAAAATAGGAGGCGGGTGGGGTGACGGTGGACAAGAGAGGAGGAGCAGGAGGAGGGGATGATGACACAGAGGAGGAGAACTAGGAGGAGCAGGAGATTGAGTAGGAGCAGGAACAAAGAGCAGGAGCAGGAGCAAGGAGGAGGAAGAGAAAGAGGAGACGGAGGAGGAGGAGGAGGAGCAAGGAGATGGATGGAAGAGGGTAATGAGGAAGAGGAATCTCATGATGATGCTGATGATGGTGCTAATGATGATGGTGATGGCGATGGTGATGATGATGACGATGATGATGACGATGACGATGATGATGCTGATGATGCTGATGATGGTGATGATGATGATGATGATGATGATGATGATGATGATGATGATGATGACGATGCTCATGCTGATGGTGGTGGTGATGATGATGCCGATGAGGAGGAGGAGGAGAAGGAGGAGGAGGAGAAGGAGAAGTAGGGAAAGGCACAGGGTCCATTTCTGCCCAACCGATCTGATTTGATCTTGGCTCCGGCTGGTTTGATCCTGGCAACTATTCCGACGATGCGATGCGGCCCGATGCTCACATGCCAATGTTGTGCACCCTGGCACGGCCGATCCAGTTCGACATTCCGACTCCGTGCCGATGCGGCAAGACTTGACGCGCATTCTTTTTCGATCGGATCTCCTGATTCGATGCTGATTGATGCCGGAGAGGGTGAGAGGGAGGAGGGCAGTCGCTGTTGTTGGATTGTTTTGTTGACAGCGAGGCTCCCTTTGAGCATGTACCCGTGGAAGGAAGAAGGAGGGAGGAGGAGGAGCAGGAGGAGGAGGAGGAGGATGAGGATGAGGATGAGGAGGAGGAGGAGGAATGAGGAGGAGGGGGATGAGGGATGATGGAAGAGGATGAGAAGGAGGAGGAAGAGGAGGAGGAGAAGGAGGAGGAGGAGGAGGAAGGAGGGGTGGATGAGAGAGGAGGAGGGAGCAGGAGGAGGAGGAGGAGGAGGACGAGGAAGAGGATGGAAGGAGGAGGAGCAGGAGGAGCAGGAGGAGCAGCAGGAGGAGGAGGAGGTGGAGGAGGACGTGGATGAGGAGATGGAGGAGGAAGAAGAGGAGGAAAGCGGGAGGGGAGGAAGAAGGAGGAGAAGGGAGAAGGAGAAGGAGGATGAGAAGGAGGAGCAGGAGGAGGAAGGGAAGGAGGAGGAGGAGAAGGAGGAGGAGAGGAAAGGGGGAGGGGATCGGGGAGAAGGAGGACGAGGAGGAGGATGAGGAGCAGTAGGAGGTGGACCCTCGTGGAGGAGGAGGAGGAAAAGGAGGAAGAGCATGGGCAGTAGAAGGAGACCAGGTGGGAGGAGGAGGGCGTGAAGATGAGAGGAGCATGGAGGAGGATGCTCGTGGAGGAGGAGGAGGAGGAGGAGGAGGACGAGGAGGAGGTAGGCAGGAGGAGGCCGATCCTGCCCCCCCTGGGCAGGGGCACACGTGGGTCGCCCCCTCGGCCGTGCGCCTCGCGGGCGGCGGGCGGGTGCTGTGGTCCGGCAGTTTCGTCCTCGATCCCGGGGAGTCGAGCGACACGACCATCTGCCGGGGGGGTCTCCTGCTGCATCCCCCCCCAACTCGGCACGAACGAAATGGGCACGGAAAGAACGGGTACAATGCAACAGCAGTTCCTGTTCACTTTGAACAGGACTCGCTGTCCGCGCCGCCGCGGCCTGCGTCCGTTCGAGACAGGAGGCCGCCGGCCCAACAACGGCCGCTGTTGGTTTCGGACAATATTTGTTGTTAATGCCCACTCTTTCCGTGTCCAAATCAACGCTCAGCTTGAGGGGCTTTGAAGTTTTCGGGTGGTTTCGTTGGTTTTCGGCGCTCCTCCAGCCTCGGGGCGCTGGCCGGCGGCTTCGCCTCGCCGGGAGCGTTCCGGGGGGTACCCGGCACGTCCCGAGCGGCCGATGGAGACCCGAGCTCTGGCCCGAAAACAATCCAGGGATGGGCTCAGGGGGGACGCATCGACCAATTATCGGCCCTGGATCACCGACAGGAACCCGACAGTGCCTGCTGCACCCCTGGGCGCCCAGCGCGAGGGGGGGAGACCGACTCAGGGTTGGACGCCGGAGGGTTTCTCCGAAGGGCTTAGGCCTCCTCCTCCTCCTCCTCCTCCTCCTCCTCCTCCTCCGCCTCCTCCTCCTCCTCCTCCTCCTCTCCTCCTCCTCCTCCTCCGCCTCCTCCTCCTCCTTTTCCTCGGCCTCCTCCCCCTCCTCCATCTCCTCCTTCTCCTCCTCCTCCCCTCCTCCCTCCTCCATCTCCTCCACCTCCTCGTCCTCCTCCGCCTCCTCGTCCTCGGGTCGCCTTCGGCCTCGGGGGAAACCGTGCACTGGACGCAGCTGCCCTCCTGCCTTCCATGGAAATCGCCGATCGGGGCCCGACGGGCCCTGCTGCACCCCCGGCCTGCCCCCCAGGGGCAGCGTGAGGGGGGGGGAAGGTGGTCAGCTCCGGGGGGGGCGGGGGGGGGACGCCGATAGTCAGCCACGCGCAGAGGGGGGTGGGGAGAGGGGGGAGGGCTTCTTACAAGCACCCCTGCTTCTTAGAAGGCGCGGGCCTCATCTATAGATTCTATAGATGTAAGGCCGGCGCCTTCTAAGAAGCAGCAGGGGATCGGCTCTCACGCGGGGGATCGGCCCAGGAGGGGTGGGCAACACGAAGCGAGGGCGAGTGTGGATCGGTTCAGGAGGGGTAGCCTCAAGTCGGGCGTGCCCCTCTACAGGAGGAATCTTCAAAGATAGGCAACAAAAATAGTATGGGGACGATGTTCGGAATATATTTGAGCAAGTGTCTATTAACCTCATGCCCGTGAGAATAAACACTAGGGGATAATAAAGTTCGGGGTTCAGGGAGAGATAATAAAAGTAGCCCAGCAGACCTCAGCATAATCTCGAAGTAAGAGATGATCAAGAGGAGACCAAGCCGAGCACGTTTTGAGACATCCTTGGCGTTTAGTTTTCGTAGAAATATCATCAGCAATGGCTTATCTCTCATGAAAATTGTTTTTTGTAAGTGATCGTGTAGGGTAGCTCATGTGCCTCAATTTCCATGGATAATCAACCCCAGAGATAAAAAAGTTCAGGCGAGCGTGGGGACAGAGAGAAATATAAAAGAAGAATAATACAGTAGAAGAATAATAAGAAAGAAGAAGAAGAGGAGAATAAGAAGAGGACGAAGAAAGGAAAAATCCAAAGTTCCAAATCTATCAATTTTAATTTAGAAGCGCTTTATGAAAATTGATGTTTTAAGTGCTCGTGTAGGGTAGCTCATGTGCTTCATTTTCCATGGATAATCAACCCCAGGGATAAAAAAGTTCAGGCGAGCGTGAGGGCATATAGAAATATAAAAGAAGAAGAGGAAAGTAGAAGAATAACAAGAACATTGCTCGTTTCGTTTGAGTCTGCCTCCCAAAATTATTGGTTTCGCTTGACACATCCTGAAAAGTGTGATCGCTTCGCTTGATGTTGCTATACCAACATCGCTTGATGTTGCTATCTCAACATAGCGTTTCGAGGTGATAATGAAGTTCGGCCTCAGCGCTCGCCGCCCAATTTGAATTTTGTATAGGGCGACGACGATAATCAACTCCAAACACTGAAGGAGGGGGGTCCCTTTATTATCATCGGCATCCGGTTATTTGTTGATTTTTTTGGTTCAAAATCTGCCTGTAGGAGGACACGCCGGACCTAAGGGTTGCCCCCAATCGCACATGTATCGCCGATAGGAGTCTTGTGGCCGACCCCGCCCAGGACCCTGCGGATGTACAATAGGGGGGCCATCGCCGATATATCGGCGACATATCGCCGATTCCAGCTCGATCCTCCCTCTTGACCGTGCGGATTCGCTGTCGGGTGACCTACAGGCCAATACATCGGCGATGCATCGCCAATGCCGGCACGATCTTCCTTCTCGGACGCCCCCTTTGGAACCCCCGGTCGCCTGGCGCCCTCGGGCACGTCGAGGCGACCGACACGGCGGCTCGTCGTCAGAGGAGGGGGCGGTGCAGACGTCGCTACGCGTCCCTCGTCCCTGCGGCTGGCTTCGCCCCGAAACCTTGGTCAGGACGCACCTCTGGGAGAGGCAGGGGGGAGGAGTGGTCGGCACTTTGCTGTTCCCCCAAAACCGAGGCGACCGATACGGCTGCTCGTGCAGGAGAGCCCTCGCCGGCGCTGTCGGACTATCCTCGAAGCTCTGGGCAGAGCGAGCCCCCATACGCCCTGCGCCTCTGAGTAGGCCAGATGTCTGGCGGTCCGGTTTCTGAGATCTGGGCGTTTTTCATCGAGTTCGGCTTCCAGGGCTCGTTACGGGGGCCCGGGGCCGAAAACAAACACACCATCGCATGGTGATTACCTAACAGCGAAGACTGATAGGTTTCTAATGGGGTCAAAAGAGAGCATCTGATGACTCCCCAGGGGGGTCTGGGCGGGAGCCGGACAGGCGAGGGCCGGGCTCGTTTTAAGCAAACAGTCACACACTTCGTGCTCTTCGACCTCCCAGAACTCCATTCCCGGGCCACATTTTGAATGCCCGGAGCCAACTGTAGGCCACTTCGTGCTCTTCGACTTCCCAGAACTCCAGAACATTCCCGGGCCACATTTTGGATGCCCGGAGCCAACTGTAGGCCACTTCGTGCTCTTCGACTTCCCAGAACTCCATTCCCGGGCCACATTTTGGATGCCCGGAGCCAACTGTAGGCCACTTCGTGCTCTTCGATTTCCCAGAACTCCATTCCCGGGCCACATTTTGGATGCCCGGAGCCAACTGTAGGCCACTTCGTGCTCTTCGACTTCCCAGAACACCATTCCCGGGCCACATTTTGAATGCCCGGAGCCAACTGTAGGCCACTTCGTGCTCTTCCATTTCCCAGAACTCCACTCCACTCCCGGGCGACTGCCACTGCGAATCCGAATGCGACTGCGAGAACACGAGAATTCTACACCAGCACTCTTACATGAATACCACAGGCAATGTTTCCAGCTATGCTTCTACACATCGCTGTTAGGTTGCTTTGCCGGGATAGTCGTTTTTGATTCGTTGTTTTGCCGATCGGCGCGGGCCCTCGCACCCCCTCCCTCCCCCCATGGAGTAGATCTTGGCTTGTCTTTGGCGCCTGTTTCGAGCGGGTGGAGTCTCCCCCAGAGGCAGCATTCTTGCAAACAGTTGCACCAAGCAGAGGTCTGGAGCCAGACCCCTCCCTCCCCCCGCCCTTTTCCGCCCAATGTCGAAACGCCGAATGAAACAAACGCTCACATGCCCGGGAACCTATCGAGGCGCGACCGATGCGAGGCCAGCGGTGCTCGAGGAAGGAAGGAGAAGCGGCACAGGTGTGCATAAGCTCTCGGAGGCTCGCGCGGATGTCTTGGTTCGGCGCTGAGCCCGTGGCGGCACCTCCGGCGCTGGGTGGGGGGTCACGATCTGTCGGTCGGAATAAGCGAAGGGGGGGGGGAAGGGGGGGGGGGCACGGGAGGGAAAGGGGGGAGGGCGCGGGGGGCAACGGTCGGGCAGGGGGGGGGGGAGCACGGTCGGCCGGTCGGAATAGGCGGAGGGGGGGGGGGGCACGGGGGGAAGGGGGGGAGCACGGGGGGCCACGGTCGGGCAGAGGGGGGGGGGTCCAGCGCAGATGTCCAGGAAGTGCGCGCGGACCTCCGGAAGTTTGTGTCTGTGCCGCTCGCGGTTCCTCCAGATGCGGCCGCCCGTCCTGGGGAAGGCTCTCGTCCACCACGCTCGAGGTCTGGGGAGTGGCGTTCGGGAGCCTTGAGACGGGGGTCAATGCAAACGGGGGCCAGCCAGAGCGTCCGATCTTGCAGGATCCTACACGGCCAGGGTCGCATCGACCCGGGTTTGGGTGCAGCATCCTTCAGGATCTTGCAGGATCCTTCGCATCGACCCGGGCTTGGGCGCAGGACCTTTCAGGATCCTGCAGGATCCTGCAAGGCCCGACTGGTCCGGAGGAGGATGAGGAGGAGGGAGGAGGAGGAAGAGGAGGAGGGAGGAGGGAGGAGGGAGGAGGAGGAGGGAGTGAGGGAGGAGGGAGGAGGGAGGAGGGAGGAGGAGGAGGAGGGAGGAGGAGGAGGAGGAGGAGGAGGAGGAGGAGGAGGAGGAGGAGGAGGAGGAGGAGGAGGAGGAGGAGGAGGAGGAGGAGGAGGAGGAGGAGGAGGAGGAGGAGGAGGAGGAGGAGAGGAGGAGGAGGAGGAGGAGGAGGAGGAGGGAGGAGGAGGAGGAGGAGGAGGAGGAGGAGGAGGAGGAGGAGGAGGAGGAGGAGGAGGAGGAGGAGGAGGAGGAGGAGGAGGAAGGAGGAGGAGGAGGAGGAGAGGAGGAGGAGGAGGAGGAGGAGGAGGAGGAGGAGGAGGAGGAGGAGGAGGAGGAGGAGGAGGAGGAGGAGGAGGAGGAGGAGGAGGAGGAGGAGGAGGAGGAGGAGGAGGAGGAGGGAGGAGGAGGAGGAGGAGGAGGAGGAGGAGGGTCTGGATTGACCCGGGTCAGAAGATCCCCGCGGCGTCATCAGTCGTTCCCTCTCGGCGTTTCGCCGTGCTCGGCCTCTGGGAGCCCGCCTCGGGCCTCCGGCA